TCTGGAATTACAGGCGTGCACCACTGTGCTCAACTTAGTATTAAGTTTTTTGAGTTCTTTATGTATTCTGGATGTTAATTCATTGTCAGAGAGTGGCTGGCAAAGATTTGCACTCATTCTGTGGGCTCTTTTTTTATGCTTTTAATTGTAGAAGCTAAATAATATACATGTAAATAATCCATAAATCAAAGAATAAAGCAAAAGGGAAATTAGAAAATATTTTGAATCAAATGAAAATAAAAACACAAGATATCAAAATGTGTGGGATGTCACAAAAATAGTGCTTAGGGGGAAATTTATGTAACTAAATGTCCACATTAGGAAAGAGAAAAGTTCTCTAATTAATGATCTCACCTTCCACCTTAAGAAATGAGAAAAGAAGAGCAAATTAAACCCAAAGTAAGGAAAAGGCAGGGAATAATTAAGATGTGGAAATCAATGAAATCATAAGGAAAACTCCAGAGAAAATCTATGACACCAAACCCTGGTGCTTTGAAAAGATCAGTAAAATTGATAAATTTCCAGCCAAACTGATTAGAAAAAAAGAGAAGACAAAATTTTCCAATGCCTAGAATAAGAGAGGTGATATTATTACAGATTCTATATGTAGCAAAAGGATTAGTAAAAGGCTTATGAAAGTTTTGTGTCATAAACTTGAAAACCCAGATGAAATTGGTAAATTTCTTCAAAGATACAGATTATCAAAACTTCCCTGGGAAGAAATAAATCATCTCAGTAGCCTTATATAAATGAAAGAAATTAAATTTGTGGTTTAAAACATTTCCATGAAGAAAATTCCAAGCCCCCGTGGCTCCTCTGGTAAATTTTACCAAACATTTTAGGAAGAAATAACTTAGAAAATTGAAAAAGGAGATAGTACTTTGCAGCTAATTCTGTGAGGTAAGCATTCCACTGATATTGAAAAAAAACAAAAGACATTCCAAGAAAAAGAAATTACAGGCTAATAACTTTTTTGAACATTTATGCAAAAATTTAAACTAAGATGAATTTAGGTTTATACCTTGCAAATTAACTCAAAATGGATCATAGATTAAATGTAAAACTAAAACTATAAAACTTACTAAAGAAAGCATAAGAAAAACACTAGGAATCGTGGATAAGCGAAAGAATTCTTAAATAAAGACACCAGGAGTATAATTCATAGAAGAAAAAAATCGGTAAATTGTATTTCATCAAGATTAAAATGTGGTTCTCTTCAAACTACACTAGTAAAAAAAATGAAAAGACAAGGTACAGACTAGGAAAAAATATCGGCAAGTAATTAAATAGCGTGTATCCAGAACACATAAAGAATTCTCAAAACTCAATAATAAACCAGGCCTGATAGGACATACTTGTAATCCCAGCTCCTCAGCTGGCTGAAGCAGGAAGACCTTAAGTTTGAGACCAGCCTTAGCAACTTAGCAAGACCATCAGCAGCTTAGCAAGACCCTGTCTCAAAAATAAAAAGGGCTGGAGATGTAGTTCAGTAGTAAAGTGTCCTGTGTTCAATATCTATGCCCACCCTCCCCCCCCAAAAAAAATCACATTAATAAGAAAACAACCAAAGTTTTAGAACGGACAAAAGATTTGAACACTTAACCCAGAATGTATACAGATGGCAAAGAAGCACATGAGAAGGTGCTAAATATAATTAATCATTGGGGAAAACAAAACTAGAAGGAGGATCAGGGATGTAGCTCAGTGGTAGAATGCTTTCCTAGCTGCCCCGGCACTACAAATTCTCCAGCACCACCAAGAAATGTTCCAGCAACCCAAAAAGAAAGAAGAGGGGGAGGGGAGGAGAGAGGAAGGAAGGAAGGAGAATGGAGGGAAGGAGAGAGGGGAGAGATGAAGGAAAGAAGAAAGAAAACTAACTACAATGAAATGCCATTATACGCCTATAAGAATGATTAAAATAAAAAGATTGACCATGCCAAGTGTTAATGACAACATGGAGAAACCAGAATTTTCTTATACTGCTGTTGGGAATATAAAATGACACAACTACTTTGAAAAACACATTGGTTCTTTCTTTAAAACTTTAAACATATACATACCTTATAATCCAGCCATTCTACTCTGAGGGATTTATCCAAAAGAAAAGAAAGTCATATATTTATACAGTCTATCAGCTTTATTTGTAATATCCTAAACTGGAAGCAACCCAAGTGTCCATTAGCAGGATATACAATATCCATCCAATGGGCAATGGCTCAGCAACAAATATGGATGAATTATTGATACAACTGCATGGATGAAACCCAAATGATTAGACTGAGTGAAAGAAATCAGACCAAAAAAAAAGAGTATGACTGTTCTTATTCCATCTATATAAAATCCTAGGAGAAGCAAACTAACAAATGGTGATGGAAAACAGATTGGCCATTGCCAAGGAATGAATGGGTGGAGCCAGGGAGGGTGAGATTAGAGAGATGCCTGGGAAGACTTCGGGGATGGTACATCCTCTTGTTCACTGTGGTGATGGCTTCCTGGATACATTCTGATCACGTGTCAGAATGTATCCACTTCAAACATAGGCATTTATGACATTCAACTTTAACCTCAGTAAAGCTATGTTGAAAAGAGATTAATGGCAAAATCTACTAGAAGCATTGCACTTACTAGCTGTGTAATCTTAAGCCAGTTGCAAAACCTCTGGTTTCCTCATCTATAAAGCAGAAATACTATTACTTCTCTTGTAAAGTTGTAATAATTAGAAATAATGTTATATATGTTTGTACCAAAGAAAAGCACAATAGATGATAGGATTAGAATAATGATGCTAGTGAGAAAGAAAAGAAAAATACCAATCACACTACTCTAGAATTTTCTGCTCATGTTTGTGAAGTGTCAGAAAGCTGTTGCTCCTGGTTTCCCAATTCCTCAGGTCACAGTTTCACAAATGGTGACCTGGAGTTAATAACAGGGTAAGATTTGCCTACCTGTTTCACCTACTGCCAAGTTCTTGCTCCTCCCAGTTTGGCCAGAGCCACCGTGCAACTGACCCCCAGCCACCCCTTGTGGTCTCTCCCCTTTCCCTTAGTTTTGGGACTTGAAGCCACCTAGATTCATAGAAATAAGTCAGGAAGAAAACTCTCCTGGGAATTTTTAAGAGAATTAAAGCATGTCAAGTACATGGCCTGGCTCATGTCACACTGGACCCACAGGTAAATGTTAGCAGTGATGGTTCACTCAACAGCAGTGAGGTCTTTCTGTTCTGGCTGCAGGGTCCCCTCACAAATCCAGAGAACTCTCCAATTATCATGGGACCAGTAGCTTCGCAACCCTGTTCTGGGCAAGTGGGAGGAAAGGATAGACATCATCCCTGTCTTCATAGGTTAACAGTTCCTTTGGCCAACACAGTGAGGGGCCACAGGATAGGTTCAAAGATGGGAGAACCAAAATGAACTATAGATGTTGGGAAAATATGTTAAAGAAAACCTGCCAATGTGTGTGAGTTTGTGTTTGTAATCCTCAAGCCTCTAGCTTAGCGCCTCGCATGTAATTGGACCTTGGTGAATGGTTGGGTTGAGCAGGCAGATGAATAAAGGTAGTACTGTCAGAGTCGAGGCAAGGGGAGGGCAGGCACTGTGACCCAGAGCAGAGGTGAAGCAAACGAGAGGAGCCCGCTTGGTTAGGATAGATAGAACAGAGGTCTAAACTGGAAGATTGTTGGTGGTGGGTTTGGGAGGAGTGGCTGGCAGATTGAAGATTTGGAAGCTTGGCTGGAGTGTCCCTTTGAACCACAAGGAAGGTCCCTAGACACTCTGCAAGGCTTATCTCTCCCCACTGCAGGGACCTCCTTCAGTTCTGCTGCATCTTGAGTGGTTCTGGGCACACGCCTGCTCCCTGGCTTTCTGGATGAGCTGAGACAAATGGAGAGTCTTGTCTTCTAGTCTCTTCTCCGACTCCCAGATTGACTGGCAGCTGCTCTGAAGGGAAATCAAGGTCCTTTTGACCCCTGGATAGAGTAGACCCCCCTGAAAGAGCACTGACATCCCCCCCACACATAAAAATTCCCTGCACATGTAGATGTGCTGCTTACTGTGTTTTGCAGTCACTTCTGAACATCAGGAGCCATTATCAAAGCCAGCCAGAATGCTCTCAAAGACTCATGTCCAGGCCAGGCAGTGAGAAACAGGTGTGGGAAGTAGCTGTAGTGACTACAGAGCCATGCACTTGGGGGCCTGAGCTAGCTGGTTCTAGTCCCACCAGGTCACTGCTGACCCAGAACTAGATGGGCAGCTCAGGGCCTGCGGAGGAGGAGCTTAGGAGCAGATGCACCTGGTGCCTCATGGTGCCCTCTGACCTTGCCCCCATTTTTGAACCCTTAGAACCCTCACCTGTGCCACTGTAGATCAGAGTTTCTGGAACCAATATGCATCTTGAGGAAAAGTCACTTCATGCCAAACCAGAAGCCTGTTTCCCATTTCACCACCGCACTGAGGTCTGTGGATGTTCAGTGTACCCTGTTAGACCCCTCCAAGGCAGCCTGGTTCCTGGCCCTGGTCCTGGGTGGGCTGTACCCTCCCTTTAAGGTACATTTCTAACAGGACCCTAAGGACTGTGCTAACGTGAAGTTTTGAGCAAAGAACAACATTAACTCCTGCCCAGCCAAGGAGAAGTGGCCTTTTCATCTGATCAGAAACAGATGGGAGCACAAGTCCTTTGGATAAAGCCTTCTTTATCTAGTGCTCTGAATTGGATACGAAAGAATTCCAATATCTTTTCTTTGCCATCCAGCAAAAGAGCCTGCCACGCCTTCTGTCCTCAATCCCTGGCTGCCCCCTACCCAGCTCAGAGCCTTGTTTCTCTTGCCAGTGTCCCTAGCATCAGCCACAAGGCCTGAGCATTGGACTTGGAGCTTGGAAAGCCCCCCGCCCCGCGCATGCATCTCCGTGGCCGTGCCTGTGTGTGTGCGTGTGTGTGGATTTGCACGTAAGCGAGTGTGACCAAAATCGCTTCTGGAGCATGTCGCCCTCTGTCTGCCCATCCAGGTTACTCCTCGCTGCAGGACGAGCTGCTGTCCCCTGCCTCCCTGCACTACGCGCTCCCCTCTCCGCTGCGTGCAGACCAGTACTGGAACGAGGTGGCCGTCATAGACGCCATCCCCTTGGCGGCCACGGAGCATGACACCATGTTGGAGATGTCTGACATGCAGGTGTGGTCCGCGGGCCTCACGCCCTCCCTGGTCACTGCTGAGGACTCCTCTCTGGAGTGCAGCAAGGCCGAGGACTCTGATGCCACCGGCCACGAGTGGAAGTTGGAGGGGGCGCTCTCAGAGGAACCGCGGGGCCCGGAGCTGGGCTCTCTGGACCTTGTGGAGGACGACACAGTGGATTCAGATGCCACAAATGGCCTTATCGATATTCTTGACCAGGAGGAAGGTCAGAGGTCAGAAGAGAAGCTGCCAGGTTATAAGAGGCAGGAGGACTCGACAGGTGCAGGGCAGGATTCAGAGAATGAAGTGTCTCTTGTTTCAGGCCAGCAGAGGGTGCAAGCCCGAATCACAGACTCGCCCCATGTGAGTCAGGTGCTGGAGAGGAGCCAGGACAGGTAAGGGCCGCTGCGGTGGCGGAGGTCCCTTTCATCTTCCTGGGCTTCTGGGTAAGGTTGTGCATGGCGGCGAGCCCAGAGGGAATGCTTAAGTGCTGCTACTACCCTGGACCCTATGTTCAAATGCCCTGGAGCATTTAGCAGGGCACCAGCTTGCTTCCCAAAGCCACTGTCCATGAGAATCGAGCTGTGATCTGCAAAGGCCACTTCCTTGCCAAGACACTCCCTGGGTGTGGCCAGAAGGAGAGACCCTGAAAGGTGTCAGGACAAGGGAGAGTGGGAGGTGGATCCTAAGACTTGGGAAGACCCATGACTGCGGGGCGCTGCTGGAGCTCAGTGCTCTGGATGCCTCTCACCACTGCGGGTTTGCTGTTGAAGGCCATATTTAGACACTTCGAAGCCCTGGGGCCCAGGGAAGTTATTTGTGTGCAGTCACACAGCCTGCATGTGATTCCACTGATAATGGTGGCCTTTCTACTTATCCCCTCTGAAAGAAAGAGACTGATGGGTTTATCTAGACAGGACAGAGCTTTCAACGGCTCTGCAATGGTGGTTCTCCTTGCCAAGCATCCTGTGCTGAGAAGGCAGGACACCGTGCCAGGGGCAAGGAAGCAGCTCCAGTAGTTCAGGCAAGAGAACTCGTGCCCTCCGGACACTGGGAGCCGATGTACCTTTGAACTCCCGCTGTCCTAGCAGTGGAGCCCCCCACTTTGCCGAGTACAGAAAAGGGCTCAGAGGTGAGAGAGTTCCTTGCGGTGCCAGAGAGAGATGAGGCAGGCATGATCTGGGTATCGCTTTGGCCTGCCTCCCTGGACTGGAACAGGAAGAGAAGGATGAAGGCCCTTTCCTCCATGTTGCTTTGCTCCATAAGTTTTCCCTAAAGCAAGGAGATGGTTCCCGTGCTTCCAGAAGAAGGCTGTGGCCACCCAGTGAGCTCAGGAATAGCCAGAGCCCAGGGAAACTGTTCTCACTTCCTTTTCCCACCACCTTGTTCCGTGGCCCCTCAGAGACTCATGTAGGCTTGGCCACATCCCAAGTGGGAGGGAAAAGAAAGCCATTTAAAAGATGAGACAGCAAAGAATTCATTTTGTCTCCTAAACTGATCCTTCCATGAGAGTGGAGAACTGGATAGACTGAGCCCGAGTGTCCAGAGTAAAATGCTGGCATTTTGGATGGCCATTCTTTCCACACACGTTTATGGAACGCTTCCTGTGTGCTGGCCACTTCCTGTTGTAATAGCAGGAGTACTGAACATGGAGTCAGAAGACCTGGAGTCTAGGCCTTGTTATATCATTGCCAGGTTCTGTGACCTTGGTCATCCATCCACTTCAACACGTGAATTTCATTCATTCAAATTAACAATGTTTATAGAGCACCTCCTATGTACCAGGCACCTGTAAAAAGTGGCTAAGTTCTGATGAGATGGCATTGAACAAATCAGACAAAAGTCTGTGCAAGAAGCTTATGTTCTAGTGGGGAAATTGACAAGAAACAAGATCAAAGGAAATAAAATTAGAAGTACCACGGGCCTTCATATTCATGGGTTCCAAGTCCATAGTTTTAATCAATCACGGATCAAATACATTAGGGAAAAAATGCGTCTGTACTGAACATGTGCAGACTTTTTTCTTATAATCATTCCCTAAACAATATAGCATAGCAACGATTTACACAACATTTACATTGTATTAGGTAGTATAAACATTCTTGGGATGATTTAAAATGTGCCAAGGGATATGTGTAAGTTCTATTTGAATACTGTGCCATTTTATCTAACATTGAACATTCATGGATTTCTCGGATATCAAGGTGACTTTAATGAAAATAGAAATGTTGGATACTGAAAGTGCTAAAAGGAAAACTAAGAGAAGGGAATTAGGAGATAGATCTATGTATGGAGAGGCAGAGGGTCGAAATTATAGATAGGGTGGCCAGGGAACCCCTTGGGAGGGAAATCTAGTTCAGACTTAAAGGAAATAAGGGAGTGTGTCTTAGGCCCAGAAGAAGGCCTGGCTAGTGCTCATGCTGTGACCTGGAGCATGCCTGGTAAGATGCAGGGGACACTGAGAAGGTCATAGAGCCTCGGGGCCGAGCGAACAGGGTGATGAGGCCAAACATGTGGGGCCTTGGGGTCCTAAGAAAAGTGGCCTTTGTAGGAGGGGGAGCCCCTGAAGGGCGTTGGGCAGAAGGAGTGGCAAGCCCTGGCTGTTGCCTTGAAGAGCTTGATGTGACCAGGGTGAGGGCAGGGAGGAGAGTTAGGAGGCAGGAGCTGACACGGACCAAGAGGCATCAGGGTGTGGTGAGAAATGGTTGAGTTTAGGTTATATTTTGAGAGTTGAACTCCAAAGAGGCGCTGATTACTATGATGTGGAGTGTGGGAGAAAGGAGACCAGGAGGGCAGGTTCCCTCCAACTGGCAACTGCAAGGATGAAGGTGACTTCGTCCTTCATAACCTCAGGACTGTAGTGAGGACAACTGGGTGGAACGGGCGTGGAGCTGGATCCTCAATGCGGAACCCATCCTGCTGTCCTTGAGATCCTGTTGGAGAGCCAGAGTAGAGATGTGGGGAAGGAACGTGCAAATACACATCTGAAGTTCAAGAAAGGGTTCCGAGCTGAGCGTGATGAGCTTCTGGACAGGGTTTCCCACCAGGAGCGGGAGAAGCTCCCTTAAAGAGGGAGCTAGCCGAGAGATCTGCAAATGGAACCCCATGCTCTCCAGTGCTCAGAAGTCCTGGAAGTTAGGGGGACCCAGCAAAGGCCAGTAAGAAGGAGTGGCCAGTAAGAGGGAGGGGGAGACCAGGCAAGTGTGATATTCTGGAAGCCATAAGGTATGTTTGAAGGGGAGAGAGTGATCACCCTTCAGATAAGGACTATCGAGTGACTTAGAGGGTGGGGTGGGAGACAGTCTGGGGATGCAAGATGATGGCTGTGGAGACCCCAGGAACTGAACCATCATCGAGCAAGCTGCCTCAGGAGCCCAGAGAAGAGAGCACTGAACTTAAAAGGAGGGACCACTGCTCTGGTGTACCTGATGGCAGGAATAGGCCACGTGTGCCTCCTCCCCAGAGTGGTCAGCTCAGTGACTTGCTCATGCTCTCCCCAGAGGTAGAAGACAGTACAGGCTGTGCCCTGGATGAGCCTTTAGATGGGGATGGGGATCAGCTGAGAGAGCACAGACCGAAAGATGACCGTTGTCCTTTCTTTCTCCCTGAACATCAATCATCTGGCCTGGACCCCAGACCACACGACTGGGAAAGAGAAGGCTCCATAGTCACATACCTGCAAGATGCTGCCCAAAGCTCCTGGCAAGAGGAGGTCACGCAAGGCCCACACTCATTCCAGAGAACCATCACCACTGTCAGAGGGCTGGAGCCCAGCGGGTCTCAGGAGTATGAGCACGTGCGGATGGAGCAGCCAGAGGCGGGGAGCTCCCAGGCAGACAGGGAACAGAGCCAACAGGGCCACACGGAGTGGTCGCAGGCGGCCGGGAGCATCTTCTCCCAGGTGATGCAGGTGAGGCCCGCAGGGAGCCTCCTCCCCTTGCTCTTTTCCAGCATCAGAAAAGAAGCCCTGAGGCAAGCTGTGTCCCTTCTTTAAAAATTGCAGTGGAGACCTCGCGTTCTCTAGGAGTAAGGACTCAAGGTCGCAGTCCACCTCTCTGCCTCCTTGACCTCTCCTGGTGGAAGGGTGGCCTCACAGAGTAGTTGTCATCCATCTCAACAACATGGCAGCCTGGTGCTCATTCCCCTTTGGCCAATGATGATCAGAATGGTTGGGCAGCTTGCCCAAGGCCTCACTTGCCCAGGAGGGCTTGGGCTAAGCCTTTAGTGACCCCAATACCTTGGGTTTTGTTAGTTTTCTTTGTTGGTCATGCTAAGTTGTTTTAACTGGTACATAATGATACATAACAGGGGAATTGGTTGTTATGAACTTGCACGTGCACAAAACAGAATTTGGTCCATTTTTTCCCTCAGTACCTCCTCTTTCTTTCCCTTCTTCCCTCCCCTTGGCCCCCTTCCTATACTCTACTCTGCCCGTTGTGTTTTAGAAAGGGCTTAGAGCCAAACGGGAGAACTGGGCATTAGGCTGACTGGTCTGTATGACCATGCGCAAACCATTCTCTTCTCAGCACCTCCATGTCCTCTTGGGTAAATGAGGACTTGATTGGAATATCACAGAGCTCATCCAGCTCTGGAATCCTGTGTCTTTTGGAGGTGGCTTATGGGTTGGGAGGTGGTCAGGTAGAGATGGTTCTCTTCTCTGCACCTCCTGCTTTCCTGGGTGTCTCCCTCCCTCCTTCCTTCCCTTCCTTTCTTGTGCTTCCCATCCTGTCTTTGGATTTTCCCTGCATTTTTCTCCCTTTCTTTTCTCCAATCTTCCCTCCTCCTTCCCACCTTCCATGGTTACTCACTCATGGCCAATCTTATTTTACCTGAACCGCAATCCTCCCCCCCCACACACACATTATTTTGAAGCAAATCTGAGACATCTTACTAATATGTGTCTTTTTGATTTATGTATCCTTATAAAACTGCGTTGCCATTCTGTATGTATGCATTTTTAATATGGATATAGCTGCTATGTGCTGAGCATCTTGGTCACTTTCTCTTTTCACTCAGCACCACTTCCTGATCCAGGAACCGTTTTCTCAGCCTGACCTTCCTATTTCTATCTTTCTCTCCCCTTTTTACTGCCTGAACCTTAGCCTTGGCAGAAAACCTTTGAGGACTCCAGGACTAGGTTGACTCTACAATGGTTGGGAGCGGCTGGCTATAAAGAACTGCTAGGAATTAAGTAGGGTTTTATTTAGAAAGCTTGTCTGCCAAGTATGTGCACTCAGGCAGGACAGACAGCTGTGTTCATTTTTAACCTCAATCCACCCCAGTGCATTCTTTTCCATCAGGCTGTTCCTTGGCATCTACCCCTGCTCCTCCCAGGAAGAAGCGCTGTCCCAGAGCACAGGTGATCCTGATTGGGTCTGTTTTGGATCCCCAGGAAAAGAGAAAGGTGTCGGGGGGTTCTTTTCCACTGCCCCTCTGCAGTTATCCCTTAGTGAGAGGAAAATTGGGGAGCAGAGGAGAAAGCAGGACAGCCCCAGGGAATCACAGAGAGAATGCTTCCAGGTTGTCCACCCAAGTCCCTGGATTACAGAGAAAGAAATTGAAGACCTTGGAGGCCCAGGGCTTTGTCCAGGGTCACCCAGTGAACCAACATCAGGGATAAGAGACTCCCAATCACTTGGTTCCTAGTTCCACATTCTTATGACCAGAAGGAGTGATCAGGGCCACCACACCCCACCTGAAAATGGAGAACCCCATCACCTCCCTGGCCTCAGAGTGACTGGATGCTCGGACCAGTCAGTAATCAGGTGTCAGTAATCAGCTGTCAAGACCCCAAGAGAGGATAATGAGGCCCATTGAAGACAATGATTTTTAAAGCTCCGCCCATTTACTAGTATTACCATTGAATTTCTAGAAACAGAGAAGAGAGAGAGATGCCATGTCACATGGGGCTTGGGAGTTGGGCCTGCAATGAATATAACCTGGCTGATTCTTCTGGGATCTGAGTGGAAATATCTGAAATTGGACTCTGTTTTGGCATGTGGTGTTAGGGATGGAACCCAGAGTCTGGCACATCCCAGGCAAGGTCTCTACCACATTCCCCACCCCCACCCCAGCTCCTGGATTTGTCTTAGCCTTGTTAAAACTACATTTTGTGCCATGACCAACTCCTTTGCATGTGCTAAGTAAGGGCTTTTGTTTTTCCCGACGTTATCTTGTTGAAATGAGGTGTCATATTGGGGGTGATAGGAGTTTGAAATCTGACTCCGTCATTTACTTACTTTTTCACTTTAGGCAAGTTACTTAAATTCTCTTTGCCTGTTTCTTTTATAAAAATGGGGAAATTAGAGCACATACCTATAGGCCATTGGTAAAGTTTAACTGAGTTAATGTGTGAAACACACAGAACAATGCCTGCAAAGCAGTGCACAGTGAGGTACCTCTATGCCACTATTATCCAGATTGGCAGTCTTCATAAACTCTGTGGAATTCGCAGCAATTTTAAGAAGGGGTAAGAAAAGCACATTAATTTCCAGCTTATGAATAAGGAAAATTAGGCACTGAGAAGATGCCCCGCTTTCCCAAGACCCCACAATAAGTGAGTACAGGGTGTCCCGGGTCTTTATTTTTTCTGCCAACAGGCTGCTACTTAAAAGGGGAACAACCTGACCCAGAAAGTGAAATTCCTTCCAGCCCCAGCTGCTGCGGCTTCACTTGTGAATCAGCTCCGTGCACGCAAGTGTAATACGCGTGGTTCCTGCTCAGTGGGCGTCAGTGTCCTAGCACGGGAAGAGCCTTTAAGGACAGGCCTTAAATAGACACATCAGTTCCATGCTGGAGTTCAGGGTTGTCATGCCCTGTAAAGGAGGGGACTGAGGGCTTGTGGGGCTCATAGGAATTACAGATCCGCTTCCAGGTGGCCCCACCACCTGTACTGGACTGCTGCCCTGCTCATTTGGCTGGGCCTGAGCAAATCTCTCCCCCTTGAGGCTATTTTTAAAATAAACTCTTCACTATCCAGGGTATTAGCTGGTCTCGGCCTCCAGCACAGGCAAACATCATTCTGATGACTGCAGTAGCAGTCCAGGGAGAAACATGAGCAACCACATTCTTGGAACATTTTATTTTATAGAGTCCTTGAATGAGAAATTTTCCTAGGGCAGAACTCCCTCTGGTTTCCATAGGGACAGGCAGGCCAGAAAGGCTAGTGGGCAGGCCCCCCTTCCAGGTCTTCAGTGACTTTGACATGTGCTTTCTGTGTCCAGGACACAGCACCTGCCGGATTCCTTCTAGCCCAGTTGGACAGTTCCAGCAGCTGGTTTGGGAAGCTAAAATTATAGAAGCCTGACGTCACCGTGGAGTTAGGGCAGATCCCGGGGCTGCTCACCGGAGGGGCACTCAGGCCGGCTGTGTAGCGGGAGAAGGCCCATTCTGTCTCCTGCTTGGAGAGATAGAAAGAGACAAAGAGAAAACAAGAGAGAGAGAGAGAGAGAGAGAGAGAGAGAGAGGATGGAAGGGGTCGCTGGGGGACTCGTGAGTCCAAGAGGAGAATGAGAGACTGGATCCCTGCAGCAGCCGGGCCCTGGTTTCCCTGGTCCCTGGAGGGCCAGGCTGGTGAGAGGAGGTGAGGATGTGGACTTTCATCACCCAACTCCTGGTCACCCTAGTGCTCCTGGGCTTTTTCCTGGTCAGCTGTCAGAATGTGATGCACATTGTCAAGGGCTCCCTGTGCTTTGTGCTGAAGCACATCCACCAGGAGCTGGACAAGGAGCTGGGGGAGAGCGAGGGCCTGAGTGACGACGAGGAGACCATCTCTACCAGGGTGGTCCGGCGGCGGGTCCTCCTGCAGGTAATGGCCAGGCAGGCGGCAGGATGGGAGCTTGAGGGGAGCACCAGAGGCCAGGGCTGAGGGGACACTGTTGTGCTGTGCATGGTGTGGAGCTGGGGGAAAGCGCCAGGAAATGTGTTGGAAGAGCAGGACCAGGAAGGCCTCCGGGGATCGGATTCTACACTGGGAGCCAGAGTTGTGTGTGGCTGCTCCCCAGCACCCAGCATGGAGTGACAGCCCAGAAAGCTCAGGGATTCAGGCCTTCTCTCTCTCATCCAGTTCTTGTTGCCAACCAGCTTTGGGTAGCTAGCGATCTGTGGCAGGGCTTCTGGACTGTGGAGTGCTGGGAAAATTATAAAACAGTGCCTTACCCACTTCTTCCCTCAGGGTTTCCTCCGTCCAACTTGCGTAATCATCCCTATTTTGCTGGCTTCCTGGGCTGTTGTAAAGATCAAGCACACCAACCTCTTGCAAGCTCTGGGCCCATCCTGTTCTCAGGCCTTGTGGCCCCACGGGGGCGCCGCCCCTGTGCTGGGAGTCCTCGGTTTGGCTGCGGCTACTTGCTGAGCTGGAGTTTCCTGCCAGGGTGGGGATTTATTGGATGTGGTGGTTGCTGCCACAGCTCTTGTATGTCCTCCACCTCCATTTATCAATCTTATATATTTTCCCTTTCTCTTATTCCAGGGAAATGAGCTTCAGAATATTCCAGGGGAGCAGGTGACAGAGGAACAATTCACAGATGAGCAGGGCAACATTGTCACCAAGAAGGTGGGTGCAGAGAATCCTCTGAGTTGGGGAGAGGCTGGTTGGGGCTAGAAGCTAAATGGCAAAAGAGCATAACTCGGGCCACACCAACAGGGTAGGCATGGCCTTGGGCCACCCCAGCGCTCGGGAGGAGCGGTTTAGGTGTGTGTTCTTGGTCTCCAGCAGTTTGGATGTGGCTTTTCTCACAGCCTCTGTGCCCAAACCTAGTCCCTGATGCTTAGCCTCTAAAATAGAGCAGTGTGCTGTCCCCAGCCAACCAGGCATCTCCTCTAATAAGAAGGACCTGGAGATTCACTGAGTAGGTAGCATATATTAACTCACTAGACGTGGTTTTGCCTGTCGGCTGTCAGGCCCCATGCTAGCTAGGGGAAACCGGGGAGAGACAACAGGGAGGATTTTGCATGTGCGTCTCAGGATCGCTGCTTGCACTATGGTGGAGGAAGACCTCTTGCCCTGTCTTTCCTCCTTCCTTTGGGCGCGGGATCCGTGTTCTTTTATGTTTTCATCTCCTGCTCTGATCGCATAGTAGATGCAGAGTAAATGGTATCTGAATGTTTGGATGGATGAACAAATAGGGACTGGGTGGGTGGAATGGAATTATTGTAGATAAAAAGAAAATGTTCTCCGCCCTTGGGCACTGACAAGAGGATGGGCAGCTTTGGGCTTCTGCAGATGCCAAAAGGCAGAATGAAGAACAGTAGGCTTGAGACAGACTTTATGTGTGGTCAGACTTTGATCATTAAACAAAACCTGCCAAGAGCCCTCCACAAATTCTAGCTTTTCCGACACACTCTCCAGGGTGGGTTTTTCCATCAAGTAATGGCAGCAAGAGGCTGCTCCCTTTTCTTGTCCCCTCTGGGTAGGGCCCCTTATTCCTCAGATCTCTCTCCCGAGTCTTTCCTCACACGTTGTCTTCATGGTTTGACCAGCCCTTTCCCCCTTACCTCTTTTTTTCCAGATCGTTCGCAAAGTTGTCCGGCAGATAGACTCGTCTGGTGCTGATGACACCCAGGAGCACCAGGAGGTGATTGTTGAGGGGCCCCTGGAGGACCCTAGTGAGCTGGAAGCCGATATTGAGTACTTTATAAAACATGCCAAGGTACTGGGGGGGCTTTGGGCTCCCTCACTCTTGGGAGCAGCCCCAGGGAATCCCCCTGATGCCTGCCTCTCGGCCACAGCCTAGTCTGCACCGTCTGTGCCTACAGTCACCTTCTTCCTGATGAACGGTGTTCCACCAGCTCCATACTGTCCCTTTTCCTTCCTCAGCTTTTGTTTCCCTTTCTCATCTGGCTGTGCGATCTGTCTTGCTTTCTATCTCTGCTGCTGTCTCCAGGTGGAGCTGAGAGGGAGTGGCCTGCACCCGGACCTTATAGAGGGCAGAAAGGGGGCTCAGATAGTGAAGCGGGCCAGCCTGAAAAGGGGCAAACAGTGATCTCCAGTCTCTCCTCGGAGTAGCCTCTTGGGAGGTAACAGAAGCCTTCTCGTCCTTTCTGCATGGCCTGGCCCTCAGTGGAGTTGCTGCTCGTTTTTTGCCTGCATCCCTTTTTCTTAGGGTGCTCACTCTACCCAGCCTCTCTTGAGGCCCAACCTAGCGACTGTGTCTCTGAGTCTCAGTTTCCTCTTCAAGGAAACAGAGGCACCTATCTCTCAGGAAGTGTACAAATGCGGTTTTTAGAATTTGGTTTTGGTTTTGGTGGTGCTGGAAATCAAACCTAGGGCCTCCTGCATGGTAGGCAAGCCGCTCTACCACTGAGCTACACCCCTAACCCCTATACATATTCAAAAGGAATCTTTCATAAGTGAAAATCACTCTGTCCATCTAAAGTAGTCACACTGTCTTAGAAACCAAGCAATGGGCTCCAGGGGTTGGTGGCAAGGACAGTGGAGAGTGCAGGAAATACACTCTGGGCGGTGATATTTCAACACACTTTCCCCAAAAGAGCTCTCTAGGACCTGGAACCTAACTGAAGTTCTATCAGGACCCGGGCTTCAGTTCTCCTTGATGTTTCGTGAACCAGGCTGCTCCCTTGCTTTCTAGGAAGGGGCTGAAATTAACAGACCCAAGGGGTGGATGGTGTTTTCCCTGGAAAGTCAGGAGTGTCATGGGGTTGGGAGCTGGGTGCCGGTGCATGGTGAGTGTGAGCATGGGGCAATGGCGCTAAGGAGGGGTGTGTGTTGTGCTGTGCTGTGCAGGGAGGGTCTCCAGCGGGCCTGTGCAGTGCTGGGGGCTTCAGCGGCCAGCTCTGATGATCTGCCCTCCCTGAGGGATCCTGTACTGAGCTGCCCCGAGGCCCTTCATTGTGCCCAGCTCGGGGCAGCTCAGTACAGGATGCATCGGGGTGGGAGTCGGCCGGGAGCGAGGAAGCATTGAGGCCCCAGCACAGCACTAACTGGGTTGTTGCCATCCAAATCCCCAAGGCCTGGCTCTGGGGCCAAGTAGCAAGCAGGCACTGGCTTTCTGCATTCTGCAAAAAGCGGGGCCCGCTGCGTCCTGAGCCACCAGAAATGCTGACTTGGGGCTTCCTGACATATCTCAGCACTTGGGCAAAAAAGAGGACTGGCGGATCCAGTGAGAGGATAAAATTAGACCTGACTCCTCAGCAGCTTAAGGAGGTCACAGCATTAACCCCAGCATTGCCGGGGGTCCCACCCACTCCTGGCTTCAAAGGCTGAGGTTAGCTGAGATTCAGACTTGGAGCTAATCCAAAGGTGCACAAATTTTTTAAAAGGAGAGTGAAGGGGAAAAGTACACTCTTCTGCCTTATTTTTCTTATAGTAGCTGCAGTAATGACTTTAAATTTGAGCTTCTGTTTGGCTCAGATTTTACCAATGTTCCTAAACAGGAGACAAGCAACCCAGAAAGAGAGCTAGGGGGATGGAGGGAATCTAGTATTATTTTTTACTGTTTAATTTGCCGCAGGTGATCTGCAAAGAGGTTGAACCCACTACCCACCAACACCCAACACCATCACAGGTGACTAAGGATCAGACTACATGAGCATGGGTATCAGGAACATGGAACGGCCTGGCTTCCAATAAAAGGCAAAGGGGATACCTGAGATTAGGGGTGACAGTGGTAAGGGAGGGAGCTTGGAGGCAGGCTCCTGGCTGTGTCCCAAAGGGCCTAAGGGGCAACATAAAATACTGAACCTTTCTAATGAGAGTAAAGGCTGCAGAGAAGATAGTGAAGGGCTGCAGGCGCTCTAATTCTTAACATTTACTACCACCCACTCACAGGGATGTACAGGAGATCCTCCTTGTTCATTTTCAAATTCCCCTACTTGCTAAAATTCACTTATAACCCAAAGCCAGTTCTCACTGTACTTCTGTGGTCATTCACAGGAAGGCACAGAAGGGAGAAAAGTTTGAGACGCCTGACGATGCATATTCCCAGATGAGGCTGAGCAAGGAGAATTCTGCCTTATTTCAGCTCTCACAGTTCAGACAAGCGTCCTTTTATTGGTCTATTTGGTGCCATGTTTGGTGCATTTCTGTGGGTTTTTTGGTGACTTTCCTGTTTAAAATATTCTTCCCGGGCAGTGCTAAAAGGCTTTCTAGTGTTTGTAAATACAAAGAGGCTGTGATGTGCCTTTGTATTTTAGAGAAGCTTCAGGAGCTGGTGCAGTGGCACATACCTATAATCCCAGTGACCTGGGAAGCTGAGGCAGGAAGATCACAAGGTGAAGACTTGCCTGGGCAACTTAGCAAGACCCTATCTCAAAATAAAAAATAAAAAGGGATGAGGATATAGCTCGGTGGTAGAGCACCCCTGGGTTGAATCCCCTGTACCAGAAGGAGAGTAAGAAGCTTCGTGATGAAACCAGTTATAGTGCTATTGATGGTGAGGTCAATGTGAATGAATCAGCCATATATATATTAAATAAGGTGTCTTTGAACAGATCCTACATAAAATAGGGTTATATGTTTATTGGTCAATGAAAATGTGACCAGAGGCTTGTATTTCCCTTAAGAACGATGGTTCAGCATTCACTAATTCAGTGATTACAAACACTTTGTAGAATATGACTACATGTGAAGAATGAATAGTGAATCAGCTCTGTTTGTTTCAGAGAGTGAAAACTGGAGTTTGGGAGTCTAGATTCAAGGCCTGGATCCTCCTGTTTACCTTAAACAGGTCATTCAGCTGCCTGGAGTTTCAGACTCCTCAAAAGATGAAAATAGTCCCTTCTAAAAATGAGTTACACTTCAATTAAAAAAAAAAGGAGAAGTTTCCAAGGCTGGACATGCAGTTGAGCGGTAGAATATGCTTATCATGCACAAGGTCCTAGGTTTGATCCCCAGAAAACCCCCTGCAAAAAAAAAAAAATGAAACAACAATAACATACAAAGGTTTACAAATAAGGGGGAAAGCTATGTAAAGAGTAAATAAGAACATACTCTGGCACTCAATCAATGGCGGATTTTATTTGTAATATGCCTCAGGGCAAGTCAATTGACCTTTCTAAGCCTCAGGTTCTTTATCTATAAAGAAGCAATAATGCCAATATTTTTCCTCCCAGGATGTCTATGGTGATCGATGAGTTCCTGTTTATGAAAGGGCTTTATAAATTGGCAAGTTCTACTATGCTCTTTCTCAAAGTGCCGTCCACTTCCCTGTATTACAGTCATCCAAGAATCTTGTTAAAACATATGTTTTGGGGTTGGGGGTGTAGCTCAGTGGTAGAACACTGGCCTGACATGTATGAGGTCCTGGGTACTAAGCCCAGCAGTAACAAAAAAAAAAAAAAGGATATCTGTGAGTCTTGCCCCACCCAGTATTGGTGAATTATAATTCTAGAACTCAGGATTCTGTCCCTCAAGTTGCTCAAGTGATTTTTTTATATTGAATATTAAATTATTATGACTCTTTTTTTTTAATTCTCTTTGCCAAACTTCCTAGAAGTGGACTGTTGTAACTTCGTGTCTAAAATGTGACCTGAGACAAATTATGGTTATAGTTCAATTAAAAATGTGGAACCCCCTCCCTCAAAGGGCAGAATTTAATGGACTAAGCCACTCATTCTGATTCCCCCACATCACTCCCAACCTTGGGAAGGCTTTTGCGTTGGAGGCCTGGCAGGGGGAGGGAATTTCCTGGCAGTGTGTAGAAGCAGAAAACTTGCTCTTTAGTCAAGGCATGATTGTTTGGGGCAGAGAGTAGCAGGTGGTGGGGTTTTCTTTGTGCCCAAGTATTTAGGTCCAAGTATTAGGGTTTTCAGTGCTGCTGTAGAGACAGTGTGGAGCCAGACAGCTGGGAGGAGTGGAGTAGAAGCAACTGTATAGCCTCTGCATTACCAGGAACCTGAGCAGGGCTCTGGTGGTTCTTGGCACCCCTCTGTACAGGCCTGACTCTCCCTTGTAGAGCTCTCTGCAAAGCTGCAGGAGGAAAAAGACTACTGCCTTTGGATGTTTTTCTTTTTAGGGGATACTTTTACATTCAGACAATGTGGTTGCAAGACTTGCATTAACGCTGACAGTAGAATAGTTTAATAAGTTTAAAATTAGTCAGTAGTCTGGATAGGAGGAGTGGGGGAGGTAAAGTGGAGGTATGCGGGAGGTATGAGTCTACCCTCACAGCCAGCCACTGCGGGGACATTAGAGTTAGGGTATAAGAGAGAGAAAAAAGAGCCACAAGCCCTGGGTAGGGGTGGGGACAGGTGCTACAGTGCAGAGAGAAAATAAGAGAAGGAACAAGGCTGGCACAACCACACAGAATGAAGGGAGCTGTTTTCTAAGTTTTGAAAGGGTGATTCCTTCCCAGGAGAACAGCTGCAGAGAGGAAGCTCGAGTACTCTCCCACCCCATGCTGCTGCTTGTTCCAGCTGGCCCTATCTCTGCTGCCCTTGAGTCTCACTTTACCCAAAAATGAAATGGGTAGTTATACCACAGTGATCTCCAAGGCTTTAACTTTCTCCTCTGCCTAGGATCTGAGCCAGAAATGGGTCTTTCCTGAGCTCCAGATTTCACTTTGTCTCTTGTTCAAAGAGTGCTTACGTACTATAGGAAACTGTAGGTAGGGGCTCTTGCCCCTGAAGTGTTTATAATCCAGCCAGGGAAATAACACAGATGTTTAAAAGAAAAGTCAGCAGCAGGGCATGGTGGCCTGTAATCCCAGTGGCTCAAGAGGCTGAGACAGGAGGATCACAAGTTTGAGGTCAGCCTCAACAATTTAGTGAGGCTCTATGAAATTTAGTGAGACCTAATCTCAAAATAAAAATTAAAAAGGGCTAGGTAAAGCGCTTGCCTAGCATGCGAGAGGCACTGGGTTCAATTCTCAGCACCACATATAAATAAGTAAAATAAAGGTCCAACAACAACTAAAAAAAATATTTTAAAAAGGTTGGGAGAGGCTGGGGATGTGGCTCAGTGGTTCAGAGCCCCTGGGTTCAATTTCTGGTACCACCCCCACCCCCCCCCCAAAAAAAAAGAAAAACAAAAACAAAGAACAAAAACAGTAGCATTTCCAGAGAACCCAATAACAAGTTTACATGCATGCAATGCTCGGTCCTAAGGAATTTATTTATTTATTCTTTTAAACATCACAATAATCTAATAAGGTAGATCCTATTACTGTCCTCATTTTACAGCCGAAGAAATTGAGTCACAGAGCAGGTAAGTAACTTAACCAAGGTCAGGCAGCAAGTAACTGGGCAATCTGGCTGAGGAGTTCCTACTCCTAATCACTATACTTTGTAGACTCTTAAATGAAAAGTAGCTATGAGCAGGGAGAGCTTCCGAGCCGAGCCGGGAGCAGCTGCAGTTCTCAGGAAGGCTTTGTGCCGGACAGGTCCAGGGGAGGGGGGCCGAACTTCAGCAGAGAGTCAGTCTACTGAGTGATTTCTCCCAGGTGGCTGCACAGGCATGGGAGCCTCTAGGCACCCCTTCGGGAGCACGCAGCACAGCACCCTCCCTGCCCCATGCAGATTTCCCAGGAAACTCACCCACTGTGCAAGAAACCAGTGGAAACTTGGGTGTTGCGGAGAGACTGCCTTCCCAGGGAAGGGTGGACAGTATTCCGGGAAGTTCAAAGTCCCTAAGCACAACAGCTCACTGCTCATCGCCTTGCTTGGGGAGTCTGCTTTCCCTGAATCAGACCCTATCTGAGTAGCCGGCAAAAAAACTCTTGTGTTTGGAGTTTTTGCTGGGAGTTGCACCTTTAAATTCTAAGTGACTCCTTCTTTCTTTGTGTCTCTCAGGATCACACCTCAACACCCAACCCCTGAACTCCACACACTCTGCCATGCACACAGGAGGAGAGCTGGACCGGAGGGCTACAGAAGCGCTGCACATGTTCCTCTAGGCTCACAGCACGATCTCTGTAAGGGACTTCCTTTAGTCTCCTATTCGCATGAACGACTGACTGACTGTAGACGCATGACCTACAGTCTTCAATCCTGCCTCCGTCGACTACGGATCTCTGTCGGGAATCAGGGCAAAAGCAGCAAGAGGGGAGAGGAGAGAGAGAGGACAGAAAACAAGTACGAAAGAGAGCATATGGATGCAAACGTGAATAAGGGCTCTTTTGTGGCTGGGGATGGTTTTTGTTTTTGTTTTTTAAAAAAATTGTTTTGATTTTGACTTCGTACAGGGTATTTTTTTCCCCCAACCTCATCTGTGAGAAATCCATGTGGGCTTTTTGGAAAGGAAAAAAAGAGAGAGAGACGGGGGAGAAAAAGAAGAAAAAAGAAAACTAGGCATGAAATCAGTTTAAGTATCTTCATCCCATGGCCTCATCTGCTAACCATCCCCACCTACACACACCACCTCCATTCCATTCAACCCCTCTACTCCCCAGTGGATTGCTCCTTCCAGAATGCTCTCCATGACATTCAGGGGACACACACACACACACACACACACACACACACACACACACACACACACCTTCTCTTCACTCTGTCTACACACTGATTTTACTGTGACCTCTGAAACTGTATAGAATCTCCTGTGGATAAACTGGATTTTTTTTTATGTTTCTCTCTCTCTCTCTCTCTCTCTCTCTCTCTCTCTCTCTCTCTCTCTGCCAGTTTCAATATTAATCATCTTCCAATGGAAAATCATCACCTTGAGAGTGCATTCAGGGTTCCTTGTGTTAGGGACTTAAGAATTGGAGGCGAGGACCCCAGGCTTAGCTATAGGGCTCAAAGGGAGCCAGTGACCCATCCTAAAGGTCTCAGCTGGGGAAGGGCCAGTGGCTGCCCCAGGGTCGCACCAGCATGTCCAATAGAGAAGAGGTTTTCTATATCTTCAAGCACTTCTATCATAGTCTGTGTTCAAAGTGTAAACTGTACAGTAATCAGCCTTGTGTATATGAAAAACAATAAATACTATGCAAACCAATAGAAACACTTTAGCAGTATGTACCAAGCACTAACAGCTCAGCTCCTGAGGACTTCTCCAGGCTGCGGGAGAAGGAGCTACAGGCTGTCTTTCAGTGAAAGAGGAAGGAAGGAAGTAGGGCTAGTGAATGTATCTGCCAGTTCTAGATGTCAGGACCACCCTAAGGTCTCCCAGAGCCAACTTGGTGCTCGAAGTCCAGGCAGCCCGCAGGCTGGAGGTACAGGCTCTAGGTTCCAGGCTGGCCAGCCCCAGTGCCTCCCCTTCGCAAGGCTCCTGACCACGTGCCCAGTGGGAGGAGAGCCTAAGGAGGATGGAGCTGCTGACCACCAAGAGACTCCGGGCTGGCCAAGAGACCCTTCAAAGCCAGGCTCTGGGTCAGGGCAGGAAGGAAATCGACAGCTGGCTGTTCCTCGCCTCGGTGCCATCAGGGAAGAGCCTTAAAGTTATACTAGAGCCTCCGGCAGAGGGAGGCCCGAATCAGCACAATCCGGCCCCGTCCTTGCCCGGGCGGGCGCCCTCTAGGGCCAGGAGAGAGACTCTGGTAGGCTCTTCTCCTCTCAAAGAGCCACTGTGGCGGATGTCCAGTCACCTTCCTCCCCTGCCTCTCTTCGAAGGTGTCCCCTGGGCACATTTAAACCTTCCAAGTAGCACAGAAGCGCCCTCAATGTCAAGAGACCCCAAGGCTCTGGAGACAGATGGCAAAGGTCTCGGGCGGAACGGGGACAACCGGGCCTCCGCCGTCTGGCCCGGTGGTGCCCTACCCGGGCCAAGTGCGGTCGACTCGAGGGCCGCGTCCCGGATGGGCCGAGGCACTCGGGTCCGTCCGGGGCGGGGTTTGCTTTTGCTCTCCCAGTGGGGCGGGCAGGGGAGAGGAAGTGCCAACTCCTGGCCCCATTTCTCGCCGAGGGCTGCGTCTGAGCAGCTGCAGGCTCGCAGCCCCCTCTTGCGTGGTGCGAGACCCAACGCTGCTCGGACGCGGGCACCGGGGCGCAGCGGTGGCCGCCAACGCCCCGCCCCGCCGCAGCGCCGCGCCGCGCCGCGAAGCAGAGGCGCCCCGGCTCCCGGCCTGCGGCAGGAGAGGCCAGGCAGCGCGGCCAGGGACCGATTCCGTGAAGGCTCAAGGAAGACAGGCGCAGGGCTCGCCTCCTCCGCCTCGATCCTGTCCCTTCCTCTCCCGGGTCGCCGCTGCAGCTGAACCCAGTAGCCCCTCTTAGCGCCCCGCGTGGGCCCCGCGGCTCCAGGCTCTGCTTTGGCACCTTCCGCTCCGTCTGGCATGGCTGCTTGGCCCGCCGGCCCCAGGCCCTCGGTGGCATGGCTGCACGCTCCCGATGCTAGTAGGAGCTGTTTAGGGGAGGAGTTTGGGGTCTCCACATGATGCCTAGAGAATGCTGCAGTCTGCACATTAGACGCTTTTTAGAAGTTTTGAAATTACCTTGATTTTTTTAATTGTTATGAAAAACAAATCATTTCTTGACTCTCCCATGCTCTGTTACTGGGAGAGTATGCCCCCTCCCCGACTCTAATGTATAGACCATTCTCCCTACACCAGCTGAACAGATGTCAAAATTAATAAAGAAATTGACTCATGACACAGGGCTCCATCTCTCCTTCCTGGCTCGTCTTTGGGGCTTGTGCTGGGGTAAGAGTAAAGCCTGGGTTGGGGTGTAGAGGGGCCAATAGGTGGGATCAGGAGAAGCCTGAACCCCAAAGAGGGGTCCACCAATTCTTCCTGAAAGCTTGGACAGCTCCTTAATTTAAACTGCCCACCCAGGGAGAAACCCCCAGAGAAAGGATAGCCTAAAGGCTACCATGAAATGGGGAGAAGTTGGAGGTCCGGTAAGGGACTCCACAAACTACCAGGGTATGGCCAATCCAGGCCCAGGGCTAGTATACACTGAGTGACATTCTAGCTCTTCCTGTGAAGGCATCTGGTCCTGCACCCCATGGCATTAAACGTTCCAGAACCAACCCTTGCTATAGAGAGGATATGGCCCTGTTTCTATATAGTTTCTAATACTTTATGCAAGGTTGGTCACCACTCTGGCCTCAGTTCCTCATGGGTCAAATGGAATGAATTCAGCAGTTGCTAAAGTCTCTTCAGTTTGTCATCCTGGAGTTCTGGACCTTTAGTCTTAGCATTAAATAAGAATCAAAATTTGTAGAAGACTTCTTTCTTGATAAGTTCTCATTATTAGGGAATGAATAATTCACAGTTCCAAGGTCCCTGGAGCATCCCCAGCTCTTGCTCCACCCCAAAAAGAACTCTTGGAATCTGAAAGGCCACCCAGAACAACGAGCCTGTCATTGCTATGCATTTATATTACCCAGAAGGCTATTATAAAAGGTTTCAGAATCACAGTTGCATGGGTGGGATCCTGTGGGCATCCCTGGGAATCAGAACTAACTTCCAAAAGGATGGTAGTGCGCGGCCTAGTAGAAAAGCCAACTTAGATGAATAAGAACTTATCTTTCTTACTGGGTCTGGCTGTGTATACCTGTAATCCCAGAGACTCAGGAGGCAGAGGCAGGAGAATTGCAAGCTTGGGCAACTTAGCGAGACTCTGTCTCAAAAAATAAAAAGGGAGGGGGGAGAGGGCGGGGGAGTTACACCTACATGTAAAAATAAAGAAAGAAAGGGCTGGGGATATAATTCAGTGCTAAAGTACACCTTGGTTCAACTCTCAGTATCATCCAAAAAAAAAAAAAAAGAAAGAAAAAGAAGAAAAAAGGAAAGAAAAAGAAGGAGGAGGAGAAGAGCCATTTTTCTTGTTTATAATTCAAACTTATAGAAAAATCATCTCCCATCCTTTATAAGGTCTTCCTTAAATTAACTGAAATATGTGCTACAGAGAGTGGCTCAGAGAGTCCTGCCCTCCCCAGCCCTGGACCCTCTGCCTTCTACTGGAAACTAACAGAAGGCCAGCAAAGGGGTACAGACCACAAGTGATAAGAGAGTGAACTCTCCAGAGCCCATGGACTGGTCAGCAAGGATTTGGGGACTTCCAGGCAGAGGGAGGGCAGAAGTTCATCTGTCAGTCACTAGTTTTTCTGTCATTTTGCATTTTCAGACAAGTAGCAGGCTGGTTCTCATTCTTAGAGAATAGCATTCAAGAAAGAATGCTGCCCAGGGGCTGGGGATGTGGCTCAAGTGGTAGCGCCTTGCCTAGCATGCATGAGGCATGGATTCGATTCTCAGCACCACATAAAAATAAAATAGATATTGTGTCCACCTAAAAAACTAAAATATATAAAAAAAAGAATGCTGCCCAAACCAGGAATAAACTTGTTTCCTGGAAAGTGGGCTCTGATTCCTCTGCACCTCAATTTCCTTGTTTGTAAAATGAGAGATTGCCCCAGTAGAGCCTCATACAATATAAATACTCAAGGAAGAAGAGGGGAAAAAAGCATATGGGTGCACTGAGATTTAATCCAGTTCCATGAATCAAATATTTACTGAGCCCCAACTGAGCCCCAACCAAGTGTTTGACACATGGCTCCACCACGGAAGCAGGGGACATCTCAGCATCAGAGATTTCAAACCCAGACACCAAGCGAGTCGGAATGTGGCTGTTGCTCTAGCAGAGGCACACATGAGGAAGAGATCCTGGTGGAGGGGATCAGGGGAGGCTATCCAGAGGCAGAGGTGAGAACACACATGTGTACCACCCCCTTTTCAGCTTCAGTGGGCAGGAAAATGCACAAACCCACTACCCACCCCCGACCCAATCTGCCCATCAGGCTCTAAAATACTCACAGGAATTTTCTTCCCCACAAGAAAGCAGACATTTCCCAGCCTCTGCACTTACCCTGTCCCAGCACCAAGGAGGAAAGGGAAGTAGCCGGTTCTCCTGCAGAGCCTGGACACCAGCAGATAAAGGAGCAGGAGCAGCTCAGGAAAGTGACCTCTGAGCCCAGTCTCCTCACTCTCAGGAGGGCAGCTGCAGGAACTGTGACTTCCAGCTGCCTCAGGAGCCTCCAGAGACCTCCCAGATACCCACCTTTTCCTAGATGCTGGACTTGGGGGGATCAGGTAGAATCTCTGATGATGAACAAGAGCGTCTAGAGCTAATTCTCTCTCTCTCTCTCTCTCTCTCTCTCTCTCTCTCTCTCTCACACACACACACACACACACACACACACACACCCTGGCTGATTTTACAGTCAATCTTTCAAAGTGCAATTTGTCTAGCAAAAGCCAATGTGAGGCCCGTGTTGCCTCCACCAATGGCGGCACAGCTCTCACAGCTCAGCCAGTCTCCAGTCTGTATTCTAATGGGCCATATCTTTATCAGGGAAATGTCCCTTCTCTGAACTTAAAACTTCTCATGGAGGGTCCCCAGACTCGGAGGCTGAGGAGGGGGCTGTGCTGAGCTGTGAGGAGCACCCTGCTCCCACAGGACGGGCCCAGAGGAAAGGTGCGTGGGGAAGCCCCCACCTGCCCTGGTGGCACCTGACTTCCGAGCAGCTGACGTGGGTGCCAGTCCCCGGTGAAGGGCTGGACCAGATGCTGTAGGTGGGGGGCAGTCAGAGGCTTGGGGCTGCTTCTGACTCTCCACACCTGCCATGAGATTCTGGGCCCGGATCTGGGGTCTCTGGCTTTAGGGGCCTGGACTTGGGCTTGTCACTCTCCCGCTGCTTGAGACCATGGAGTCCAACCTGCAGGGGACGTTCCTGTTGAACAACACGCCCTTGGCGCAGTTCTCCGAGATGAAGGCCCCCGTGTGCCAGTACTCCATGCAGAACTCCTTCTACAAGCTCAGCCCTCCAGGGCTGGGCCCCCAGCTGGCCGCCGGGACCCCCCACGGGATCACAGACATCCTGAGCAGGCCTGTGGCCACGCCGAACAGCAGCCTCCTCTCCGGCTACCCCCACGTGGCAGGCTTCAGTGGACTGGGCTCCCAGGGGGTCTACTATGGCCCCCAGGTGGGGAATTTTTCCAAGGCTGGGAACGAGTACCCTACCCGGACCCGGAACTGCTGGGCGGACACAGGACAGGACTGGCGAGGCGGGCGGCAGTGCAGCAACAGTGAGTAGAAGGCAAACCTTCACCCCCAGCCCAGCCCAGTGCACCCAGAGCCAGCCAGACTCAGGGGAGGAGGAGGAAGGGGTATGAGACAGGGAACTCACCCTGCCCACCCTACCCACCTCACCTCAGCCGCCATTAGATAGCCCAGCGCAGTTGCCTGGGTCCATTTTCTCAGTTTGGTGCAGGACTGAACTTACCCTCTCTGGCTCCAACCCCAGCTTTGCTTAGACACAGATGTCTGACCCCCATCTTTACCTATGGCCACCTCAGCTGTTGTCCCAGGGAACCTGGGACTTCCAGGCCCAGAAAAGCCCAAACTGCCCACCTCTACCCTCCACAATGTCCAAATGGCAGCTCATTATTATTATTGTTGTTGTTGTCGTTGTTGTTGTTGTTGGACACAATACCTTTACTTACTTATTTTTATGCGGTGCTGAGGATCAAACCCAGTGCCTCCCACATGCTAGGTAAGTGCTCTACCACTGAGCTATCTCCACAGCTGGTGGCAGCTCATCTTGCTTCTGGCCAGAGCCTTGCCACTGCTTCTTCATCCCCAAAGCAGGCAAACCCTACCACCAGTGAAGGAAATCTGCCACTGAGTCACATTCCCAAAGAGCCAGCTCATGCCTGGCATGTTTGGGGACATTGAATGCATTCTGACCACCCCCCCCCCCAAGCCCCTGCCTGTGAGTGAGATGGCTCATTTCCCACCTTCCTTCTCGGGGTTTATAGCAATAGTAGCAGCGACAGTCCAGCCGTCAGAGCAGTGGCTGAGCCAAATTGAACTTGCCCAGGTTGCTGGAGGGCTCTCCTCAGCTCACCCACGCCTGAGTCTCAGTTTTTAGAGAACTAGTCCAGGGGGCCCGTGATGTATGTCAGGGACTAGTGGAGGTAGCAGGGGCATGTACAGACAGGTAAGGCTCACCTGGAAGGCAGGCAGAGGGAGCCTCCATTTTTGTCTGCTCTCTAGGCTCCCCCACTAAGATGGGTAGGAGATCAACCATGGAAACTCCCTAAGCGCAGCCTCCCCTCTGCCACACTGCTTGGAGCCTCACTGCCTGACAGCCTGTGCCTCCCTCAACCTGACACTTAGGGATTTTTATGAGGATAGAGACCTCATCTCTTTTACAGCCCAGCTTTTTGGATACTTTAAGCCTCAAGTCGCCCCTCCCTGACCTCCATCATCCTCTCCCACCCTACTCCACACTCCAACTCTTCTATCCTGAATGCATGTACACAGGAAAATAGCAAAGATCAGTGACCAAATTAAGTCAAAGGGAGCCAGGACTGAAGATGATGGTCTCTCAGGAGGTCTCTTCCTCTCTCTGTGCCTCAGTCTCTCCACCTATAAGAAAAGGAGATGATGGGACATGGGTTGTCAGATTGGGCCTGACCAAGGCCCAACACCTGGTGATTCTGCTTCTTCTGAACCCTACTGCTCCTGAGCATCCTGCCGTGGCTGGGGTGGGGATCTGCAGCCTCCATGCCTCCAGTGTCACGGTAGCCGTGTGATCTTCAGGCCTGGTGACATGGGGGAGTAGCACACTGGGATTGGAGGCTTTCCCTCCTTGCTTTTCAAGGGACCTGAGGAATTGCAGCCCAGAAGCAAGAAAGTGGAGAGAAATCCACAGGTTCCTGGGGCCTTGTCTTGGTGACCTGAAGGAACATCCTTGTCTTGGTGTCTTGTGACAGAGAGGAAACTCCTGTTGTCCTTTGGAAGAAGGCAGCATCATTGAGTAGAGAGAACATTAGACCCAAAGGCAGGAGAACCTGTTCTAAGCCCTGTTGATCCTAAATAGCTATAACCTGGGGCAACTGCCCTCTGGGGCTGCCACCCACCCAGACCTGGTAGAGGTCACAGTCATTGTTATCTGAAATGTTAGTAATGTGGCTAAAGTGATAGGCATCATGATGCTCCAGCAACCTCACTGGCTTCTCCATAGGAGGGAGCTCACCCTATAGGAGAGGTAGGGAAGGGCTGCCATCCTGCAGGCAGGGCATGGTACCCAGGTGCCCCTTCTTCCTGCTAATCCCACTTCCCTTCCTCCCACCAGCCCCAGACCCTCTGAGTGACAGCATCCACAAGAAAAAGCACACCCGGCCCACATTCACAGGGCACCAAATCTTTGCCCTGGAGAAAACCTTCGAGCAGACCAAGTACTTGGCTGGTCCTGAGAGAGCAAGGCTGGCATACTCACTGGGCATGACCGAGTCGCAGGTCAAGGTGAGTCTGTGTGGGTGAAAGCAACTGCCTTGCAGTGAGGGCACCTGCCAGGACAGGATGCCCTGCGTGGGAGGGAGGTAGCCACACTTTTCCAATAAATCCCAGCCCCTCAGAGGGAGGCTGTCCTGGTGTTTGGGAACTACTTGCCCATCTAACCTTAGAGATGACAAGAATTAACAATAAAATAAATGGCTGTCATCTACTGAACCTGATGCTGAATGCCTCTTATGTAGTTCATTTAATTATTATTCATTTGACAGATGAAGAAACAATCTCAGTTGAGCCTCTTGCTCAAGGTCTCCTGGGTGGTAAGGGCAGAGCTGGGAATGGGACTCCAACCTCAGGCCTTCCCCTCTTCCACTGTCTGAACCAGGAAACCCAAGCACCAATGGTAGCCACTGAGCCAAATTAAAACTGGATTCCTCTTGATCTCTCAAAGGAGCTGGACTTGGTTTAATTATCTTTCAAAAAAGAAAAAAGCCCTTTTCTACTCACCGGTCCAAAAGAAGATGGGATGGGATAGCAGATGTAAGAAACCTTGCAGGCCAACATGAGACTTAGGGAGGGTAGATATGCCCTGGTACTTCCTACCACGGGGAGCGTGAAATAGCCTCCTAAACAGGCCTCCGAAGATCTGCTTCTCCCTCCTCCGACTGCTGGGGGCAACTTTCTCAACTTTGACATTGCAGCTCTCCCCAGAGATTTTGGGTTGGGGACACCAAAGAAGAAAGCTTTGAGCTGTGCCAGACCTGCCTGGCTTAATGAAGCAGTCAGGTTCTCGCAAGGACCAGAGGCAGGCTGGACCCTAGGTCTGGGCTTTGCTGCCAGCCTCTGGGACCACCTGTTCAGACAAATATTTGCCCTGCTGGAGAGTGAAAGCTGATGAATGGAAATGGAAGGAAATTATCTGGGCCCCTCTTAGGTATAGTTCTGCCTCTTTAGGTTATCTTCCATCTTTACACCAAACAATGTACATGTTACTGTTCTAATTTGGGAGAAATTATTCATGAAGTTCAGTGAAAGTCTAAGAAGCTAAAAGAAGAGAGGGTTTTTTGTTGTTGTTGTTGTTGTTTTTGTTTTGTTTCTTTAGGTCCTGGGGCCTGGGGTTGAACCCAGGTGTTTAGGCTCTACACTGAGCCACACTCCCATCCCAAGGACAACTCTTCAGCACCTAGTGAAGTGCCCAGACCTGGACTAAACCCTTTCTACCCTGGTATTTCAGCATCTCCCACCAAGTGCATCAGATGGCAAAAGAGAAGGAAACTGCACTTGCAGGGAGAGTTGCCCCAGATCTGCAGCGGTTGTTATTTTATTTCATTGCCCTCATTCCCCAGTAACGTGGCTATTACAGTTCACTCCAAAATCGAGCCATTTGTTTGCCTACAAAAATAATAATGACAGCGCTTTCTGCGGAGTGGAGCTGTTCTCTTACAAAGCCGCCCGTGGGCGCGGTGCGTGCGTGGTCCTCAGAGTCTCTCTCACCCCAGGTGTGGTTCCAGAACCGGAGGACCAAGTGGAGGAAGAAGAGTGCGCTGGAGCCCTCGTCCTCCACGCCGCGGGCCCCGAAGGGTGCCGGCGCGGGCGGGGACCGCGCGACCTCGGAGAACGAGGACGACGAGTACAACAAGCCGCTGGACCCCGACTCCGACGACGAGAAGATTCGGCTGCTGCTCCGCAAGCACCGCGCCGCCTTCTCGGTGCTCAGCCTGGGCGCGCACAGCGTCTGACGCCCGCCGGCCCCAGCCCCTCCGCCAGCCGCCCCCCGCCGCGCACCAGGTCCCGGGAAGCCCGTGGGCCACCAGGCCAGGGCCAGCCTCCCCTTCCCCACGTGCCTGGGGAACAGGAGGCAGAGGGGGATGGAAGAGAAGGGAAGGAAGAGGAGGAGGAAGGGAGGAGAAGAAAGAGAAGGGGGGAAGAAGGGAGGAAGAAGAGGAGAAAGGTAGAAGGAGGGGAGGAAGAGGAGTCAGGGGCAATGGCCAGTCCAGCTGAGGGAGGAGGGAGACGCACACCTCTAAACACCTGCAAACCTCTCCGCCGACTTGCACCTTTTCCAATTCTGCAGATTTTTAATGGCACAGGGATATTAAAATGACCAGGCTCTACAGCCCAGGAATGCCACTGTGATTCAGCTTTGGGGGTCCTTTCCCCAAGGAGGAGCTGGCTGAGGAGTGAGGAGACCAGAATACTGGGTCCAGGTCAACTGCTGGCTGACCGCAGAAGAATATATGGAGTTGGCATATCTGGGTACAATTCTCAGACCTTTGTACAGGAAAGACCCACTTGAGAGGCCCAAGCCAATCCTAAGGGAGAGGAAGTAGGTCCTGCAACGAATAAACACACCCCTGACACCCAAACTCAAGGATCCCTCACCTAAGTGGCAGGGATCTTTCTGGCCTCTTGTCTCCACTTTTCTCTCAAGTTAGATCTTGGACACTGACCCTGGCTGGGAAAGAGGAGGTTGCAAGCGGAGGCTGAGAGCAGATGGGAAAATCCTAGTGCAAAGCTGCACCTGAGAGCCACCCGTCATTCACACTGCCCAAGGTCAGGGCCATCTCAGCAGAAGAGGAGAGGAAGGGCTGGAAAGGACTTCAGAAACCCTGCTCCTCCAAAAGGGGTACACAGGCAGGGAGAGGGAGAGCCTCCAAGGCAGGGAAAGGTGCTGGGAGGGGCTGAGCCAACAGCATGCTGGGAATCCCCTGCTTTGCCATTCCTGGGATCACCCTGTAGCCTGGTCCTGGAGCTGCAGCCACCAGAGGGCACTGGCTTACAGGGTGGTGTTTTTCCACCCCAGGTGATGTTGAACTACTTACTGGCAGGCAGGAGAGGGTGGGCTGAGGGAGGCTGGTAGGGCTGGCCATGGAGGAGTGCAGCCCAGAAGGGACCAAGAGTTTGCCCATTCTCACTGGCTTAAAAAAAAAAAAAATGAAAAGAGTATAAATAAAAGTCCCAGAAACTTCCCATGGCTCATGTGCTTCTGTGAAAAGAATGGGCAACTGGATACTGGTGGTGGGGTCCCCGACAGGCAATGGGGGAGGCAGTGGCTTGGATCCCAGGAGGAGTCAGTACTCTGGGTCTGCCACTGAAAGTTTCATGACTGGGGTCAATTTGAAATCATCTCTCTGGTACATGCCAGGGACTGTCCTGGGTGCTGATAAACCCTTGACTAATTAAGTGGGGTTCTCTGACCTCCAGGAATTTCTGTTCCTGGTGGGGGAAATTATCTGTGGGAGAATCAGGTTCCAGAAGGAAAAGACAGTGGGGGAGAGCCTAGAAGCTCTAACATTAACTAGACACCTGCTAATTTCTCCCAGGTAGAGTAGAATGTCTGGGTATCTCACCCTTGACCCACAAGAAACTTGGAAGGTAAATATATGCAAAGTAAATACGATGCATGCACGAGAAAACTGAGGCTCAGAAAGTTCCTAAACCAGCTCACAGAAGAAGCAAACTCAGAGCTGATTCCAAGGCCCTCTGACATCCTTAATGGTTCCAGAAAACAGAGGGAATAAGACAAGAAAACATAGATTGTTTTTAGCCTCTAAACTTAATCCCTGACAACACTACCTGCTCAGGAATCAGTGTCTCCCTTCACCAAGTGAGACAGAATGGCACTTATAGGAGAGGAGCCTAGATCAGTATACTCCTGGCCAGAGTAGACTGGGCCGCCACAGACCCCAATGAGAAGCCCTTTGCTGACACAGTCTTCCTGAGGGAGGTCCTACTGTAGCTGCAATAGGAGGGATGTCAGCCAGAGAGGACGCTAAGACTCATCACAGGTCTTAAAGAAGAGAAAACTCAGTGGGATCCAGGCAATGCACAACCCTGACTGAGACTGGGGAGGCTGTTGACAAGCAGGTGTGAAATCATGAAGCAGGTATGGAGGAAAATGAAAGTTACAAGAAACAAAAATGTGTTTGTTGCATTTCCGTAAGCATACTATCATCTTAACTACTCTATAATAATCATAACGCGTGCACATCTGATTCAGGTCATTTGGGGTCAGTATTAAAACAAGTCTGGGGAAAGATTTTCCCAGGACACGTTTGCTGAGCTAAACAAAACCTCCTTCAGTCTCCAAGTTCTGGGACACCTACCACTGGGACCTTTGGCTAAGAGACTCCAGCCTTCCCTGTGGTCTTTTCTGACTCCTTCCCTTTAACTGCCTTTCATAGGCAGCCAGAACATAGGCACCAGGCAGAAAAGAAGTGCTGGCTCCATTTCACTAATTATTGTGCTTACACTTATTATGAAAACTAGCTTTGAAGCTTGAAGGAGGAGTAGAGTTCAAGGTGAATGACCCAGATTATTGAGGATATTTGGAATATCTTATCCTCTGTGAGTGTGCACATGTGTATGTATTGCTTGAGAAAACACAGGTTCTCTTACTTTGTCCATCATAAAGAGACATAAGAGAGCCCCTGCTTTTATCTCTGATGATAGGCATGGCTTCTTGTATGTTCTGAGTCAAACTAACGAACAACAACAAAAATAACACCAGAACTTTTTACAAATTCATTCTCCCTGTAGTTCCTCCTTCCACATCATGAACATTTCAGAGACAAGGGAAAGAAACTGACTCCTGTGGTCTCAACAGCCGTGGAGTCTGCTATGATGGGCATCTCAATAAAGTTCAAAAAATCTGTGAGCACAGATTTTTTTTTTTTTGCCATAGCTCTCACTTTTGTATTTTCTGATTAGAAGGCTCTAGGACATTTCTTCAGGAGGTCAGCGGTGAGAATAGGCAGATGTCAATATCTTATCAATTTCGGAATGGCCATATCCTGACAGCAACAATCAGAAGAGAGATCTCACTCCTGGTAACTCCTCCTCATACTCGGTCCACCCAAGGATTTGACTCCAAAAAACTGCTAACCCTGCCATGTGTCATAGGGCAACGGGGTCTGTTAGAACTGGGCTCAGATCACTGATCCACAGTTGTCTGTATCATTGGGTTTTAACCCCTGAGCCTCAGTTTGGTCGTGTGCACTATGGAATAAGTACTTTAAGCATCTGAATAAGTACTTTAAGGACCCTGAAAGATTTCTGTAGGATTCCAATGAGTGTGCCGGGCTTATACAGACCGGGAACAGCAATTCTGTATCACTCAAAGAAGATTTTGGAAGCTGCTATGGTTTGTATGTTTGTGTTCCTTGCAAAATCCATATCTTAACTTCCAAGGTGATAATATGAAGAGGTGGGGCCTGTGGGAGGTGATTAGGCCATGAGGGCTCCACCCTTATGCATGAGATTAGTCACCTCATAAAAAGGCCTCAGGAGGCAGTCAGGCCTTTTGGGCTCTCCTGTTTCTCTGTCATGTGAGGACACAGCATTCAAAGTATGATTTGAGAAGCAGAGACTAGGCCCTCACTGGACACCGAGGCTGCCAACACCTTGACCGTGGACTTCCCAGCCTCCTGAACTATGACAGATAAATTTCTAAACTTCATAAATTACCCAGAACAAGTGGACTAAAGACAGAGGCCGACAGTACTGGGTTTAAGTCTCGACTTCACTAAGTAGTAACTGGGGTCATTGTGACCAAGTCAGGTTAACTTCTTTATATCCATTGTCCTCATCCATAAAATCAGGCTGGTAAGTCAGTTCTACAACACTGATAAGATCGAATGAAATCATGCACCCAGTATCAGATAGTATGGGCACTTAAAAAGGAGTGCACCCGACTCTCTCCTTCTTCCAACTCTCGTCACTGGTAAGTAGCAGAGCAGTTCTGAACAGGTCTGCTCAAGAACAGGATAAGTGGATTCAAAGTCCTAGCTCCCTGTCCCTGTCAGTTCTCCAACGCTGGCATGTCAACCACTATTCAGGAGGTTGTGGAAGGACTCCATGAATGACCAGATTCATTTCCCAGCAAAACCGCTAAGATTTTGAACTCTAGGGAAGAAGTCTAACCAGGTGCCCAAGGCCAAATTCAGAAACTGTAGTGTGCCGTTTGGTAGGGTGTGCTTGGCCCAATGAGCTGTTTCTGCCATTTCCCCAGCCCAGTCCCTGTGCTCCACACAGTTTCATCACCTGCTTGGCCCCTAAAGTCTTCTAGGCCTATACGGCCTGCCCAAGACCTTGTAAGGGAAAGAAATCATCCATACACACAGCAGTGGCCTCGTGTGAGGACCCATCAGAAATGACTATCTTGAGCCCCATCTTAGAATCAGCCTGTATTTTAGCAAGATCCGGCTGGTTTGTGCACACATTGCAGAGTGAGGGGGTCCAGAGTGAACGACTGTGACTGTGTGTGGACAGCACTCCTCTTCTCAGAACATAATTACAAAATTGTTAGACTGGGACTAAGGATGTATTTCAGTGGTAGACCACTTGCCTAGCATTTAAGAGACCCTGAGTTTAACCCCTAAAACCAGAAAAAAAATATTGTTAGACTGATATGGATGGATATAGGTAAACATATAGCATCTGTGACGATATAACACACAGTTGGTACCCAACCGTAAGCAGAATAAGAAGAATCTTCTGATTCCAGGTGTGGTCGAGCACACCTATGATCCCAGCTACTCAGTAGGCTGAGGCAGGAGGAGGATCACAAGTTTGAGGTCAGTCTGGGACAGCAAGATCCTATGTTAAAGAAATTTTAAAAGGGCCGAGGATGTAGTCCAGTGGTAGAGTGCTTGCCTAGTATATGTGAGGCCCTGGATGTACCTTGGTTTATATTGATAATGGAGACTGAGTCTTCTGAGGATAAGGAAATAGCTATCATAGGGCCCACTCACTACTCTCCCAGGTAAGGCCTGGAGCTGTGTCAGGAGAAGACAAGACTCCAAGAGGCCCATGATTAGAGACACTGGACAGTGACCACCAGCAGTAACTGACAAGGAGAAAGGAATTTCAGAACATAGCCTAATCCAGAGAAGGATTTTCATGGGAAAAAGTATCTTGCTTTGAACATCCCCTTCCCTGATGATGCTCAGATAAACAAAATGGTACCAAATAGATAGCAATTCTGCTGTTGGGATCACATCACTTCAGTTTGGCTGCAAGGATGGGTGGGGGGGGGTCATGGAGGAAACAGGTGGGCAGAAGAAAGGATTTCCCAGAAGAGGCAGAGGTCCTGGGGAGGAGGCTAAGGGATTCCCTGTGTCACCTTATCCCCAGGATCCAGAGCTTGAAGGGAGCCACCGAAACAGAGTGCCAAAGAGGCATCTGTTCCCTAAAAGGCAGGAGGTCCAGGGAAGACTCCAGCACCTTTTGAGAGAGGGTTTCTTTCCAAACGCTTCGCTCCCCTTTACTGGTTTATCTTCCAACAGTTGTGGGCGATTAGCGTCCCTGTTTTCCAAATGAAGATGCAGAGCAATTGGCTGACTCACTCCAGATCCATGAATAGTCCCAGTAATTCTGCTCGTCTCCCAAGAGCATGCGGTGTGGCTGCACCACACTGCTGTCACTGTCACAGAGTCCAGGTCCACTGTCACTCCTGCTGTGACGCCCAGTGAAGGTCAATCGGACATTTGTAACAAGCTGCTCAAGGTACTTTTTGATCTTCTTTAACAGTTACAAATCCATATGAAGTAGCCACTGTCATTACTCCCACTTCACAACTGGGGCACAGAGAACTCACCCTAGGTCGCCCAGTTTAATTCAGGTGGAACTTGGGCTCTTGCCACCATAAAACCACCATAATAAAAAGAAAAATGAAAAAGAATAGATTTCTTTTTTTTAAAAGAGAGAGAGAGAGAGAGAGAGAGAGAGAGAGAGAGAGAATTTTTTTAATATTTATTTTTTATTTTTCGGTGGACACAACATCTTCGTTTGTATGTGGTGCTGAGGATCGAACCCAGGCCGCACGCATGCCAGGCGAGCACGCTACCGCTTGAGCCACATCCCCAGCCCAAGAATAAATTTCTAAATAGCCAGGCCCAGTGTTGCACTTCTGTAATCCCAGCAACTTGGGAGGCTGAGGCAGGAGGATTACAAA